GCAGTAAGCTCTTGATCGGATTCCAGACGCTTATTATGAGAAATTAAAGGAATGCAACTAGATGAGTAACAAACTCTAAGATCGATAATATTAAAGTATTGCCATAGCGTGTAACAGCAGATGGAAACTTCTCAACAGCTAAGGTCGATGACCAGATCCAATTTTTGTTGGAAGGTACAACATCATGTTATCCCAGTTGCCGCTTGTTCTTGGCGAGCGTTGATAACCCAATTGTTATCAAATTCTGTCAAATCACAAGATTGACTAGAGTTCAATTTTTATAGAAAAGAGAGACTTGCGTCAAATATTTTTTGTCAGTCATCGTTTTGGCATCACTCGCGACATGACAACGAGAAACCCAAACTGACAGGAAGGCGTGGTTCGTTATACCTAAATACAAGGTGTAACAGTTAAACCATGTTAGTGTGAAAATTGAAAACCAGAGAAACACTCAGAAAAAACGTGTTATCTTGTTAAGAAAAAAAAGGCTTAAACTGTGCTGTTCCCAGATAACAAACATTTCCTCCATGGAAACACGCTGATGACAACAGATTTTTTGTTTTCGATTAAAGAGTTTTTAATTAAATTTAACAACAATCTAATTCTCGAGTTTGGTATAATCTATAGATAAATCTAACATTGATTTGTCACTTTTCATTGCATTTCACATTTTGTAAAAAAAATCCTTATAAATATTTGATGTTTCTGCACTTACGATGAACTCATTTAAATCAATTTTAAAAATCTTAAAGGCGTGTCCATGTCATTCAATCATTCTATTGGGCACGTCGAAGTCTACATGGGCGAAACGCTTATAGTTAGAAATTGTCCGACTACTCGATCAATTACTCGTGTTGACAACAATTTGCTAAAGAATTGAACATGAACTAGTAACATGAATTAGCATTTTAAGACGCCAATGAGCACTTGTATCGATTGATCATATTCTCTCATATGTTACAAGCTGCATGCAGTCCTACTGTTGAAAAACATACAAAATTCACACATTTTCGTCTATAAAATATCTTTAAATAATATTTCAGTAATGATTTCTCGGATTAGTGTTTTCTGTTTTTAGTTCTTAATGGAATACAAGGTAGCCTATTTTTATAATATTAAAAATTCTTGTGTTACGTCCTATAAAATACTATTATATCTAATTGTAAATGTTTTAAAGTAGCTATATAACCAGACAATGTTAATGAGAAATTTTGACATCTACAGATTACAACATGTTCTATGAGGTAACTTTACAGTAGAGAGTATGTTTTACATAGAGACTTATTAATCAACCAGTCTTATTCATTTCCTACGTGTCTCATCGAGTTAGACGATTGTTCGCAAACCTGGGGTCCATTATTCAGTCCAAGCATCTTGTCTTTCGGATGAGACTATAAACCAAGTGCTGTGCTGTCCACGTTACAGTTCCCCCGGCAGTTGCAAATCAATTAGACTAGTGTCACTGTCTTTCATGCCATTGTCTTCCACATATTTGGTAGATGATTTAATAATATAATAGAAAAGAAATAATTTAGAATGCGCTTCGGTTTTCGATAATTCGGAGAAAAAAGAAAAAAATTGTTTTCGTTTTTAACAGGAATTTTCAGTCAATTATAAGGACGATTTTTGTTACTTTTGCTTTGTGGTTGTCTGAATTTATTGGATAATGTAGGTTCGAATGTATTCATATTTTAATTTTGAAATAAAAGCGAATCTAAGTAAGGTTTCGGTCTTCAGATAAATCAGATCTGTCCATAGCTGTAGCAATGTTTATAACTAGTCTCATCAACATCTCCAAATGTCAACTATTCTATAATTGGACCCTAAATAAATATTGTTTTATGTCACAAAAAAAAATAAAAGTCAGTTGAAACAGGTCGAGATGTCAAGTGGTGGGCACATAAAACATTATATCTTGTCATATCTTCTTCACCTGGTCTCTGTTTCTTAATAGTGGATACATAGTGACCGTTGATTCGAAGCAAATGCCTTATGGTCGTTAATGATAAAATTTCGAATGGAAAGTATATCATGAGAATCTGAAACTCCAGCGGAAGATGTCTGAGGATGCTAGCAGTTAAAAATCCACCTGATTCCAGATTCTTCTAATCCTAATCCAGTCCTTTACAAAAATATTTCTATACTATCGACATTCGTGACTTATTTGTAGCCCAGCATTGATTCATTATTTTAAGTATACTGCTTTATTACCCATGCAATTGGCATTCATTTAGTATGCGGCAAGCAGAATCTGAGAACAACTTAATTTTCCAGCAAAGCGGGACATCTGGGGGGAACCTATCAATCGGTTTTGTCGACATGAGCACATCGACGACTAAATAATGACAAAAAATCTCTCGAGCAATATCAATATCAAAGTGAAATACATAAAACTGCATATATTTGACGAAAGTTTGGCGTTCTGAATAATATTAAATGATAAGTTATGCAGATGTTTTTTCTAATAAGAAAAGTCAATATTTACCTGGTTGTAAGCTTGAAGTCAAGTTAATCAAGTACTCATCTGCCTTGTAACATCCTTTACCTACATTTATATTGTCTCGTAGAGGTAGGATCAAATTAATTCCAGGTCGGTGTAGGTTGAGATTTAAGGCTTAACCATTCTGAAGCGCTGTCATAATTTTGAAGTAGGAAGTATATAAACACAGAGGTTTTTTTTCATAAAATGATATATTTATAGAAGGTGTGTAATTTGTTATCTGAAAGACATTATTTACTTATTCAACTCTTGAGCCTAACCAGCCTGAAGTTAGAGGCAACCATCCCGCCTTGGGCTGGGGTTTGTGACGAAGTCTGGACGATGTAAAAAGTTTCCGTGTAGGTGTATATCATCAATACATGTATATGATAAAGGGTTTGGATTTTGACTAATGGTTTCTGTTCAACTCTAACAATAGTCCGAAAATCTGCTTATTGGTCTTTATACCAAGCTAGAACCTATCACTACAAATGGCTTGGATCTGTATCAGAAACTTATTGTATATAGTGCGGTAGTAACAACACAGTTAACGACTTTGTTCATGCAGCACCAAGCTGTGCTTTTCATTATAATTTGTTTGCCTGTTTGTCGCTGAAATTGTATTTCAAATGGCGGTACACCATTTGTTTTTACTGTAGTAGTTATAAGCCTACTAGTATATCATTCATTTCTTAAATATTCTATAGATTCAGAAGAGGTAGAATGTAGCTTCCAGAAAAAACACTACACGAGACCATGACGTCATTATCGGTCATTCAACGTCAAGCCAAAACGCATTTCCCGTAATAACCCCGTAATCTGACCAAGGTCATCTTCAATTATAACACCTACCGAAATCGGGGCTAATTAACACATATACTCATATCAACAAGTAAATAACTCATTTCGACTGGCATCTCAGCGTATCTGTTGTCGCTGTCGTGAAAAGTTCGACAATTTAATTAATGGGGGTCAACCGAATTTTTCGATTTTTCTCCGCTTTGCTAGCAGTAACTGGAAATCCTGATACTTTCAATTGCCACCAGGCGCAGTGACCTAGCTAGATGAGTGGGGGCCCGTGGACATAAGTTGGACCCTCTCCCTGGAATTTTCTTTTTTAACATTAAGTTCTCCTGCATTCTGAGACGTCTCTGTAAGAACACTTTCATGCCTTTTAATGGAGGATTTCGGAGTCAGTGAGTTAGACGTTTGCTTGTTAACCTGAAGTTCTAGGGTTCAATCCTGGCATAGGTCGAGCTAATTTCAGATATTTCAACCCGGTTTCCCCCTGTCAGTGATGCAGGTAAGAGAGGCTGACATGGAAAAAGCGTCTACTTGCTCGCATGGGACAATAAACCGAGGCCCGTGTGTAACAGGTTGTGCACGTTAAAGATCCCTCTACAGTTGAAAATCGAAAAAGAGCAGGCTAATTCCGCTGTCTTGGTGGACATTCGGTTCAACCAGTCCCTATGATAGTTAAGTTAGACCTGGACCTCCACCCTCCCGTTCCTTTAAAATAGAATGGAATTGTAGCAGTATATAGTTACGGTTTAACTTTAAGGGATTGTAAAGAGGCTTTCTAAATTTATCATGTGTATCGGGGACACTGGTGGCATCAATGTATACCATTCCAATTTTCAGTCAGATATCTGTGGCTCCTGCAATTCCAGATGGCTTCACTAATCGAAAAAATATGCTTATATCACACAAGGCCCTTTGCGATTAGTTACAAGTCAAACGCCAAGTTTTAGGGGAACTGCAGGAATCATAGACGTCAGATTGGAAATTGGAATGAAGCGAATTGATGCTACCACTGTGCCACATATAAAATTTAGAAAACCTCTTTGCAATCCCTTTAAAACTAGGTATTTGTCAAGTACAATCCTTTTATACAGAAAAAAATGTTATGTATAGGCTATTAGCTAATTTTGACATCTCGGGGAAGTCGTGATATGTTTTTAATTGTGTATAAAAAAAATAATATAGGCTTGGGCCCAATCTTGAAAATTCATTTATCAGTAAAATAGGAAGTGGGTCAGACATTTCTAAGGTTCAGTGAGTTTTAGTTTTATTGGATTGAATCGTAAGGCAAAGTAAGATTGTTCCTTTGATATTCGTATCCTTCCATTTGCCACTTGTGGGTAGTGTGAGCCAATTTACCGGGCGTGCTGAAAGATATTTATCACAGTCGTAATGAAGAGTTGGAAATAATGCTTCTGGAAAATGTGACTGTATTGGTTGATTTCGGGGGATATGATGTTTTTTAAGCATATATGAAGTTGTTGAACACAATATCTGCTTTCTGAACATTTCCCCTACAAAGCTGTCATACTTTGATAATGTATAATAATCAAAACTCTTTGAGATTGGATCAAACTCAGATCAACCCACATTGCCAATACAGCTCTTTTGATGAGGGTTGTGTATTCGAAACACGTGACGCTAGCACTTGTCAAAACGGAAGATAGTCTTTTCATGAGTATATAAATTTTTTTTATTTACGGAATTGAATAAATAAAGTTTATTGTAATTGTAAACTAGAAATGTCTCTCATACTGTTAACAACATAATTATTGTACCGCCCATCAACAACACCGCGACCATCTTGTCGTAATACCCAACATGGTGTAGACGTATTCAACGCTCGGTTCATTTTTGAGCCAAGAACTGCCATTGCACGTCTGGGAATAGGATTCAATGGCGAGGTTATACTTAATCTGGCTTTAGCTCTGTTATTCCTGTATCTGAGATTCTCAATCTCGACTGTTTTGTGAAGAAACTGACCTGAAATATTTTCATTTTATATTAAAGATTTTATATTAAAGATTTTATATTAAAAATTTTATATTAAACATTTTATATTAAACATTTTATATTAAAGATTTTTTAAGATTAAAGATTCATATTTCCTATCGATAGATGAAGCCTCGACCAATTCGTGATGCTGAACAAAGAGGTTCCAATTTGCATGATTCGCTTATTGGACAAGGATGTGGAAATATAGATTGATATTAAGTTGTGCTTTTGATTTTTACTGTGACCATTTTGTAGCATTCCTGATGTACTAAGTTAACGACCAAGCAAGTGGATCAGTTTTGAAAAACAGATATATGATTGACATATGATATGGACATAAAATCTCTTTTTGCCAAAATTGACCGTTGACTTGTTTTGTGAAAGAGAACTAGTAATCATTTACTGAGCAATATTGAAAATAAGTGAAAACAGAAGAGATATTAGATACATTTTTCTGTCCCAAAATATTGTCAACGTAAGTGATAAGATTTTGATATTCATACTGTCTTACCTAAGAGACCATGGGTATATGGTGAGAAACCCCTAGCGTCAGATAAATAAAATCCCAAATAAGACAAACTTTCTATACCATTCTTCTGACCAGTTTCATGACGTTTAACTATAGCGGTAACATTCAGGTTTCTAAATGTTACAGCAATAAGATTCATGCTGATAACAACCCTATGTCCTCGAATAAGAAACGCTGTGATATTGTTCCACTGAAATCTTTCTCTATTGACGATGATTATGTGCGGCTTGACGATGATGATGACGTTTTTTCGGATAATAGAAACAGTGCCAATAAAGGTGCTTGTATTATCAGATATTAGCCTAGCATTAACTGAAATATCTGAAATCATTAATAATGAAATTGACTAAGAAATTCAGGAAAATATCTTTCATGCTAGCAAGTCGATATACGTGCCTATTACAAACACCTGATACTACTATGTAGATGGATTTTAAACACCCAGCATTATATTTTTTGAACACTGCTTCGTGATAATCTGTGATGACCGTAGTGATACTTAACCAAGGGATCCTGTCTTCTAGAATAAGTAAGCGATTTGAATGGTATGTGCGTTAGGGACGCCAAAGAGGGGTGAATATTTTCTGGTACGAACACGAACAACAGAATCGAAAGGGAAATCGGAATGGTGCTGATAGAAGCAAGCAAATTGTTTGAATAGTCTGAATCCCTTTTTGTAGAGCAGGAAATTTCTTTCACAAATATTTCTAAGCCCCGAAACAAGAAAGGTGAGATTTTGTAAGATGGACCAATTTGAGATACTTACCAGTGTTTCCATCTTGTATTAGACGAATTATCTCCCCGCTTTTACCCTCCAGATTAAAACATAACGGTTTAAATATACCAGTAACACTCAAAATAAATTCAGGATCACCATCCATGAAATACAAAATATCATTTTCATTATAACAATGAATAAATAAGTACAGCTTCAGTGGTTCAACTACCATAGAGACTGGTTGAACCAAGTCCTGCTGTCTCCACCCTCAGAATAAAATACAACATAAAGAAATGTGTCACAGTAAGTTTCTAAAAAACTTAACACACAATATAAAATGCTTCACAACTTATGCCGGGACCCCACCATAGGGACATTAACTTGACTTACAGAGGGTCTCAAACTGAGAGCAGATGTTAAAAATATATTCCTGGGGAGGGGCCCAAACCCACGCTAATCCATGAGGCCCCACTTACCTACAGATGAACTATAGTTGACACTCATCTTAGGAATGCTCCGTCGAGAATTAATCTGGATTGGGTCACAAAATGATTTTTACATTACAAAAACTAAAACTACAAAAAAAACTTACCAACTTCGTATATTGTTTGTACTGTAGGCAATGAAAGTATAATAGTTATTCCAATGGTAAAACACAATCGTAAGCCTAATGTTGCCATTTGTCTAGTAATTTAGCTTTTAAATGTCAAAGATGGACAGCACACACACACAGCAAACGAATGAAATTGTATTTGAAACTCAATATTCTTTGTCTTGATATTTGTTGTTTTCCTTTTAGAAGATCGGAAGTTATCTATATACAATGGTCATTTGTTGGGAATCGTGGGTTGCTTTTACCAGGCATGAATCCAAATGCTTAAACACTACTTTAAACAACACCCGCCAAATTCCTCTCACGATTCTCTTACTAGTATTTTCCTGTTTGAACTGTAATATTCCATGCAAGATAGACGCAATACCAGTCTAATTGTAAAGTAATCTTAGGTTTTGAAACTGAATACCATTATTATCATTGTTTAATTAGGTGGCCCAGGAACGAATGAATAAAGAAGAAAGAAATGCAGGAAAAAAGGGAGGGCGGCAGGCAGATAGGCGCAGACAAGAAGCAAGGCCGGACAGAAGGTCATACAGAACCTGGTAAACATGGTGAGCATCTCCTTTCCTTGTATAGACTATAATATCATCTAATGACTACTAGTTTTCAACAAAAGAACAAGGGAATGTGTTTATGAAATTATCAGAGTTTTATTTTGATAATATCATTGTGACATTATACATCATACGTGACACATTATACTTCCTGCATTTCATGTGGAACCTAAGTCTTCGTCCACCACATTAGGCCTATCTATATAATGTAACTAGTTGATTAATTTGCTGGGTTTGTGGAAAACCCTTGCTGAAAATATATTGTTGACAATAAGGAATTATAATGGAAAAAATACACATAAATACTAACATAGGTAAGTATTATTTTTATCACAGCCAAACAAGTAGAGATATGTTCAGATTTTGTGTATGTCATTACACACATCGGCTATGATCTGTAACCATCTGTAAGGGACAGATGCGCCATTTTTTTGACCAATCATACTTTAGTCTCAGAAACCGGATTTATTTTTTAGCTCAGCCAACCAGTAACAGTCGAAATTTGATCCTCCAAATCCATGTGTGTCCAAATTTATCCGCGATTCCTAGTTTGAAGTATTTTTAAAGAATTGTGCAATTTTCGTTCATTTCTAGTACTTCTGAAGACTATTTACATATATTCTTTTGAATCTTTTTCGACGTAGTGACATTCTTTCTATTCACGAAAAAACATTATTAAAAGTGTGCCGAAATTACAAATTAACAATGAATTTCCTAGAATTCCGCACAAGCGGAAGACAAATTTGTGAACAGTGCATTTGGTTAGTTGAAAATGACCAAGAAATCAATCCATTTTCTTCAACGAATCTACGAAAAATTATAAGGTGTCACAGTACCATTATGTGTATTATGTGTATATGTGTATTAAGTATATTACTTACGTATGTCTTCTCCCGATCCATTATCCTGTTTCTTTCGTTCTGAATATTCCAAAAATATTAATTTATATTACATAATGTAGGCATAAAGTACTCTTCGCGATATTTCATAATCGAATAGGCTTGTTTAGTAACATTTATATCGAAGAATCGCATTTACGAGTTTGGCACAAGACAGCTTTATGTCTGGGAATCTGCATTCTGACCAATGTATTCATGTCATGAATGAACCAAACTTCATGTCTTCTTTTTTTACGTGAAGCAGGACAAAACTTACTCTGCTCACAAGCATACATTTTTGACCAACGTAAAATCAATCAACTGCCCTTTTTTTGTCTATGATGTCATAATTGGTATAACGTGATATTCGTCTATTTAACCTCTTTGGTCGGTTGTTACATTGGAATTCCAGCTTCGATGCCCATTGTCATTGACAACTTTCTTTAGGCCTACACATTGTTTTTTTTTTAATAATTTTATCTTATTATACGCTCACGTGAAATAGGGGGAGGGGTGTACACTGTCGTCACCCATGTCTGTCCGTCTGTCCACAATTGCTCGTAAACGCACAATTCTTGACTGATTTTGACGGAACTTAGTATAATTGTTATCACCCAAGGATGAACCCTATTGCAAAATTAACAATGAATTTCCTAGAATTCCGCACAAGCGGAAGACAAATTTGTGAACAGTGCATTTGGTTAGTTGAAAATGACCAAGAAATCAATCCATTTTCTTCAACGAATCTACGAAAAATTATAAGGTGTCACAGTACCATTATCGTGAACCTATGTGTATTAAGTATATTACTTACGTATGTCTTCTCCCGATCCATTATCCTGTTTCTTTCGTTCTGAATATTCCAAAAATATTAATTTATATTACATAATGTAGGCATAAAGTACTCTTCGCGATATTTCATAATCGAATAGGCTTGTTTAGTAACATTTATATCGAAGAATCGCATTTACGAGTTTGGCACAAGACAGCTTTATGTCTGGGAATCTGCATTCTGACCAATGTATTCATGTCATGAATGAACCAAACTTCATGTCTTCTTTTTTTACGTGAAGCAGGACAAAAATATCGCATTCCTCCAGATTGAATTATTGCTCAAATTGTCTGAAGAATAAGGAACTTACCTGATTCTGGTATCAGTTCTTCAACTCTCGTAGTCTCAACCTTCTCTTCTTTAGGTAACAACTGGCGACAAATTCTTTCTGTTTCACTGATTGGGGGATCAACCATAAAATTATTTATTAAAGGTCGAGGTATCATATTCCCTGCTAGTCTGTGTTTTACTAATAGTTTTTCTGGAATTCCAGGAATATGTCGTGGAATTGGTTGGTCTGGTGGACAGTAGACAGGATCTGAGTTGGATTCAATAGGAATTGAGATGTCACTATTGAGGTTCAGAAAGACCATTTCATTAGTTAAATTGAATTGAAACTTTATGTTTTGATCTATTTCAGAAACGTTATCAGAACTAACTGAAATACGAATACAAAAAAAAAATTAATTAAAAAGAGTTAGGCTAAATGTGATCTGAACGGGGACTATCAAAGAAATCCGACGACCTTGAACCTTGACTAAGAACTGCTAAAATCATATTACAAGATGAGCCATTGGCGTCACTTTGGGCTGATAGTCTCTAGTGAAGGTCAGATGACCTGGAATGATAACTTCCAAAAGTTAAAGAGCACATTGGCATTGAATTAGAACTGTCAGAGTTGAAGTACAAGAAAACATTGAACGGGAACTCTCATAGATAAAAAGGTTAAAATTCCTAATTAATTATTCCTAAAATGGATTCTAAAATGGAATTGTCAAAGATTTAAAAAACAATTATGGAAAATATCACGCCCTCAGAGTTTATTTCAAGATCTCCTATTTAACTCACTGATTCAGTTTAAGTTATAAATTGAAAACTTACTCTGCTCACAAGCATACATTTTTGACCAACGTAAAATCAATCAACTGCCCTTTTTTTGTCTATGATGTCATAATTGGTATAACGTGATATTCGTCTATTTAACCTCTTTGGTCGGTTGTTACATTGGAATTCCAGCTTCGATGCCCATTGTCATTGACAACTTTCTTTAGGCCTACACATTGTTTTTTTTTTAATAATTTTATCTTATTATACGCTCACGTGAAATAGGGGGAGGGGTGTACACTGTCGTCACCCATGTCTGTCCGTCTGTCCACAATTGCTCGTAAACGCACAATTCTTGACTGATTTTGACGGAACTTAGTATAATTGTTATCACCCAAGGATGAACCCTATTGCAAATCAGAAAAATCGAAAAATATTTAGTAGGGATTCTTGCCCTTGTTCTTGAAATGCTCGTAAACACTCTAGAAGGTGCAACTCTTGATGGGTTTTGATGGAACTTGGTGTGAGTGTTAGTAATCACCCAAGGATGAACTCTATTGAAAAATAGAAAAATGAAAAATAATTAGTATGAGTTATTGCCCTTGTTCTTGAAAACTAGTTCAATTTTATCTTGTAAACTCTCTAAAAGGTTCAATTATTGACAGATTTTGACGAAACTTGGTGTGAATGTGTGTTCTCACACAAGGATAAACCCTATCGAAAACGATGAAATATCTAGTTTGAGTTATTGCCCTTGTCTTGAAAACAAGTTAAATTTTTAGCTCGTAAACACTCTAAAAGGCGCAATTCATGATGGATTTTGACGAAACTTGAGTGTTTGTTATCAACAAAGGATTAACTCTATTGAAATTCAGAAGACTCGAAAAATATTTAATATGAGTTATTGCCCTTGTTCTTAAAACCGTGTTTCAGTTTTAGGTTGTAAACACCCTAGAAGTCCCAATTCTTAACATATTTTGACGAAACTTGGTAATATTATTCAGTATCACCCCAAAAAGTTCAAAAGAGGTGATTGACTGAAGGTTGAATGTTTCATACTCTACTGCCAATATTTTTTTTTATTAAAAATCAAAGCTGCCAGTGGGCGTATATTACCATGCCTGGCAAGCTATCTTTAAGTTATTGGTTATATGGTTTTTACCTGGTTTTTACATTTACTAGGAAATTTTTAACGCAACCAAATCATTTGCTACATTTCCCGATTATATAACTTGCATCGTATCACGAATACGGGTTGTGACATGGTCTTATATAACGAATAGGGGTGTGGTTTGGACACGATGATATAATTTGATGAATTGGAGAATATCTTTATACAATATGATGCTTTATCACACAACAGTTCTTTTCCCAGGTTCATAACACGGGTTCATAATAACTATATGAGCTCGTAGCACAGGTTTATAAAATGCAAATTATGCTTGCACCATGTAATCAGAACAACATGTCATTCTGTGAAGATGACGACTCAGTTGAATTTGAAGATAAAAGAATTGAAATTGTTCCAAATAACAAAACTTTGATTAAAAGCTTCAATTTACTTAATTTATGAACGTGTTCATATATGTGTATTTGTTACACTCAAGCACATTTTGCAAAACGGTTTAACTCAAAATGAAAGCCCTATATAGAAAAAGGGCAAAGAATTACAAGAAAATGTGCGTTTATTGAGAGTAATGTGATAATTAGAATCTTTCACTCGTGCTTATGTAATATAAAATTTATTAAATTCGATATTGGATTAAATATTTCACTCGCAAAGACTCGGAGAATATTAAATCTGGCAACTCATTTCATAAATCTCATATTACATAAGCAATCGTTGAAGATCCTCTATATAAGGCGGCGTTTATCAGACTGGGCATCTTAACCAAACAAAACCAAACCAACGACTACCATTCGACTACCAATCAACAAGAAATACCATGATCAGAACGAGTTTGGAAGAATGAAGGAGACCGAGTAACTCACGCCACACCATCCAGGGCCGAGTTTCACCGCCATGTCATTCGACCCGACCAGATCTAACGAAGAATCATCAACCAAACCAACAACACCGAATCATCCAATTTGACCCAATCCAACTACCAACTACTACGACTACAAACAACTACCTAGTTTTGCGATATCAGCATCCGCTGGAAGCGAACGTTAACTTGTCAACTACCTACCTAGACTGGGCATCTTGACCTACGTTATATGATTAATTTCGATGGAAGCCTAATTAACTTTATATAGTCTTAGAGTTTTAAATTGATTTTGTCAGACTTATATGGTTTAAAATGGTGTAAATAAATGTGCTATATAGTCCCATCGTATCGACAAAACATATTTATTTGTCTAATCTTATATATTTGATGTTATTTAGGCCCTTTTACAGTAATAAGACAAACCGTGGATACGGAAATTGTAATCCGGCAGTACCGAACTCGCTGCAACATTTTAAAGTTCGCAACAAATTTGAATTTTCGGTAGATATTTTTGATTTTTGATACGTATTCGTCAGCATAAATTTTGTTCTATACTGTGGCTTGGCAGAAAATGTAGACGCACAATACATTCCAAGACTAAGAATTTAATTTGGCAACACTGTACACGCCTAAATCTGACATGGCGGATCAAGATTATGAACGAGTGTTGTGTGTCAAAAATGAAGTGTTTGTGTTTAAGATCCCTCCTAGGCAATCAAACAGAGGATACAGGTAATGATAATTAATAAATGATATATCATTTTGTCTAACTGTGTCTTATTTGCTTGTACGAAGACCCTAAAGTTTTCGTCGATTGCTAAATTATCTCCCCTTTGTCCCTCCCAGACCACAATTGCTTTATATTTCTCAACACTTACAACATTAACGTTTCTTATTTTGTTATCAGAACAAAATTATTATTCAAAGACTATTGTAATACAAAGTCAAGAATCATACAAATTACTCTAAATAATTCATCACCATTACAATATATTCTCTATGGCATTTTTGCTTTTGAATTCCCATTAATTGATTCATCCATTAATCCAGTGTACTTAAATGTATAATATTGTTAACAGTTGCTATAAAATGAAGCATATTAATTTTGATAGAGCTGCTGATTGGAAGTTAGATAATCCTGATTGGACTGGTCGATTAAAAGTAGTTTCTGTTGGAAAAGATTTAGTTTTGAAATTGGAAGATAAAGACAAAGGTTTGAAATTTTTAAACACGAACGGCTATTACTATGATCTACCTACTTAGGTTATGTTTGATAATGACCAATTGTCTGTAGAAATTTTGGACAATACATTTCATTGTATCAATCTTGCAAGTATTTGACACACTTCCTGAGAGTCCGCTCTGTTAAGATTGGTCTTGTTCTTTTCAAAATCTTACCTACTCATTGATCAGTGAGGTATTAATTTTTCATGGATCTAATAGATCTTACACATGAGGTTTTTGAGCAATCATGTTTAAAGATCAGATATATGAGAACTGGTACACTGATAATTAAAAAAGAAATTCATATTAACCTGGTTATATGGCTATGTTATTAATTAAATATCCCTATATTGCTTAATTCTTCCATATATTTACAGGTGAACTGTTCGCTAAATGTCCTGTCGATGAATATCCTGGTATAGCTGTTGAATCTGTCATGGATTCTAGTAGATATTTTGTGATTCGTATCAAAGATGATGGTGGTCGCAGTGCTTTCATTGGTATTGGTTTTACAGATAGAGCAGATTCTTTTGATCTCAATGTAACTCTGTCCGATCATTTCAAGTTAGTGGAATTTAAATCAACAATATCAATTCTTGGTCCAGTTCTCCACATCATTATGAATAGTAATCACTATGTGGACAAGTTGACAAAGCCAGTGGTATCATATCTGCCTTGCTAGCGACACACTTTTTATTACAAAGAACTCAAATTGGATTTTTGGATTTGGACACAAAACTAGAACTTAATAGTTGAAATATACCAGTTCTACTTCATAAAAATGAATAAAGCATTTCTGGAAGTTGATGTATTTTTTCATCAAATTTCTCATAAAAATTGGAAAAAAGATGTTCTTACATTTACTGTGGCATATCTGTACTTCAAATATGACATAATAACAATAATAATTTGTTTTGCAGGGGTTTAAAGTCTGATGAGTTAGCTAAAAACAGTGTGCAAGAGTTAGAAAAAGGTCCAAAATTAGATTTAGGTTTTAAAGAAGGTCAAACAATTACTATTAATATAGGGGTAAGTGAATATTTTGTATTTCATGTTGTATTTAAAATTCATTTGTTGTTGATTTGAGTATTCAATTTGTCTTACTCAGTAGAAAAGGAATTCATTATGATTTTCATGGTAAGTGTATCTGTATGCTTCAAAAATCAATTTTTTTGAAAAGTCAAATGAATTTGTGGTAAAAATAATTGGTGGGAAGATAATTGCACCCAAAACATATGAAAGTGCAACATTGGCACCCTACAATTTCGTGAAAGTATAAGGCAACAAATGATCCATTCTGTTTAAAATTCAGTTTTCGATGATCAAGGTTTTTAGTTCAAAGTGTTAAATTTGTTAATTTGAAAGTTCTATAACTCTTGTTTTCTTTCACAGAATAAGAAATCAGATGCTTCTAAACCAAGACCCAGACCTCAGGGAGGTGGAGCCATAGGTTTATTACCACCTCCTCCAGGTGGTGTCAAACTTGCACCCCCTGGTAAAGGTGCAAGCCCAGTGCATAAACCTCCTACCCCTCAACCTAGCCCAGTAAATCCTATGCCTCCTCCAGGCAATAGTTTGGATCTACTGTGTGATTTTGGATCAACCTCTACAAATAATAGTACATTCCAATCCAGTAATATGTCTGCTTTTCCACAAGCAACATCCCAGACCAGCAAACTTGACAGTGGGGATCCATGGGGAGATTTCACAGGTTCTACTCCTTCTAGTACAGCTCAATCTCAACAGTAAGTACCATAATTACTTTTACAACCACCCAGTCTCAACAGTAAGTACCATAATTACTTTTACTACCACTCAATCTCAACAGTAAGTACCATAATTACTTTTACTACCACTCAATCTCAACAGTAAGTACCATAAATACTTTTTAATACTGCTCAATCTCAACAGTCATAATTACGTTTTACTACCACTCAACCTCAACAGCAAGTACCATATTTACTTAAATTACTTCAGTTCAATCTCAACTGTAAGTACCATTATTACTTTACTACAACTTAATTTCCACAGTAAGTACCATAATTACTTTACTACAACTCAATCTCAACAGTAAGTACCATAATTACTTTACTACAACTCAATCTCAACAGTAAATACCATAACTAGTTTTACTACAGTAAAATCTCATCAGTAAGTACCATTATTACTTTTACTACAGCTCATTCTCTAGAGTAAGTACCATAGTTACTTTTACTACAGCCCATGCTCATCAGTAAGTACCATAATTACTTTTACCACGGATCAGTCTCATCAGTCAGTTCCATCATAACTTTTACTACAGCCCAATTTCATCAGTAAGTACCATTTTACCAGTTTCATCCACAATTTTATTAGTAAGTTCCAGAATTATTTTTAACTGTCACTCACACTCACACTCCAATAAAAAAGTAAATATTTTTTTTGGTTGATTTGGTTTTCAAAGAAAAAACCAAATTAGATTATCATTGGACATTGTATCTACTTGTTTTTTCCAGATCCAATCAAGACCCATGGATACAGTTTTGATTGAGTTAGTTGTATAGTTTGTGCTGCTATGTAAATGAAAAGTGTGCAATGACAGTATTCCAATGTAAATAATGGTATTATATGTAAATATATATTATATCTGTTGTATTATATATATTAAATTTTATATTTCTGTGTTGTTATGGTTATAGTAGGACTGTAGAGTAGTCTTAAATTTCTTGACCTTTATGTAGGCTTTCGATCCCTCTTCTCTAGTGGTTGTTAGTTAGGTCAGACCCTATGGTAAGAGTATTTTGAAAGATTTCAATCTGGTGATATTTGTGAGATTTATATTATTAGCCAGATAGATAGGGTAGAATATAATATTATAGTGTATATCACAGTTTAGTCTTTAATACTGTAGGCTTATAGAGGATTCGCAGAATTTAGAAGTGGTATATCTTTATGAAGATGAAATTCCCCTCTTGGACTATGTGCCATATGAAAATCATGTTAACTACAGTAGATAAAATGATGTCGATAAAAATTAAGTATTGTTATTAGTGTTGGTTATGAACTTAAACTTACTTTGGGCTGATTTGCAGAATTTACTAGTGATATATCTTTTTTAAAATTCGCTCTTGGAATATGTGCTGTATGAAAATTATGTTTATGACAGAACTGTTCATGAAATGAATAATTAATTATTGTTATTTGTGTTGGTTATTACATGTACTATCAATATTATAAATTCCTGTGTCTTCTCTGTATTTAATCAGTCATGAAAACCTATATGATTATCTAGATGGTAAGTTTTGTATATATCTGTATTATTTATTTGATAGTTTACAATGAGCAGATTAGTCAATATGGTCAAGCAAATTTATTTTTGCTCTTCCAGATCTGATTCAAAGATAAACACAAGTCTCTTTTATTTTGATGTAGTTTAATAATATGTTGGACTGGACTGCTTCTGGATATGGATGCTTCAGATCTAGATGTGCCTTAATATCTTTGCTGGACTATGTAATGTCTCTTTATTTGTTTTCGAATATAATAATTGTTATAATCTATATATATTGACTTTGTTTTGATAAAATTAAGAAATTCGCTTCAAGGAATTTGAAAGAGAATTCAAGCCAAATGGCATTTACAACCCTTTAAACAAATTGGTTAGTTTTTACTGGAATTTTATGACTTCCATTAACCATTTTTTGGACTGGTTGCTTAATACAAGTTTTAATTTATATATGAATCACTTGTTTGGGAGATTAAGGTCTCTTAGACTGTTAACAATTGTATGCATTCTCAATAGCTAGAAAACAATAGCTAGAATAAAATGCTATTTATGGTTGAATTGATCAGTATGTATGGTATTGAAAATGGAAATTGCAAAGTAACAATTTATTTTATGGAGCTCAACAGAAGGCCTAAGGTAACTGTGAATATTGAATGGTACACATATGTAGTTTTACTACACTTTGAATAACGAATTTATTTCAAATTAATTACTAAATGAGGCCATAGTTGAATAATTTAATAATGTTAGGTAAATGTCACAATGATAGGTAATAGATCAAATAAACATTGTCACAATATGATGTTGTAACTATTCATTTTTCTCCTGTTTACACTCCAGAACAATGGGCGTAAAACCTTCTATGTGGATAATTAACTCAGATCTGTACAAATATCGTTCTCATTTAATTATACTGCTAGTATTTTACAAGATGATACCAGCAAAGATATAAATTTGAAATATAAATAGCTGTACACTGTCAAGTCTATCATGCAAAATTTCAAAAGATCTGGTGCGCCGGTCTTGTTCTCTGAGCCGCAGCCTATGTAAATCTACATAAGGACTTCCTACAAGCGTAGCTGCAGATTTCTTCGGTGGTACTTTGTGTTGATCTGGCATCCTTGATCGATGATTTTAGAAACATATTCTACAGTACTACTGACACAAAGATACCCAATGTTCGTCCTTCAACACCGTCTTACTCGTCCGGTAGCAAGATAGCTGTGTATATCACTCCTATTAAACATAGCCCAGTAAACATCCAACATGTTCCTGAAAAATACAATCTTCAGATTTAAATGTAATCTAACACTATTGTGATTTGTGTTAGAGCTACTGCCTACTTCCATGAAGCTCACCTTGTTGACGTGACGACAAAGTGAGAAACTCCTATCGAACCAACATGCATGATACAACACAGAGATTGTAGTTCTCTTAACGGACTTCGTCCATTTATAAAGGAAATGTTGACAATTGAAACAACTGAGATCTGAATTACAACGATTATTGGCCCTGCACAGTGTCGAGTCATCTTGGTTAGTTCATGTAGAGCTCCTTATCTGTAAATAGATACATCTATTATCCTTTCTTAACTCATACCCATGAGAACTGAATATGGCTATGTGTGTTTGAATCAACCATCAATTAAACCGACTCTAAAACTGACTTTTGGTGTCAGCATTAAGAATGCATTTAATGCTACATAAGAAACATACCATATTTGGTCATTGCCACCATCAGCAGTAAGAATGTCATTGATATAATAAGATTGGCACCCCAGTTTATTGACCGTGCTATAGAATTGGAAGTTTTCCTCGCCCAAACTGGGCATCTCTGTGAATTCTCTCTTTGTGTTATTTGACCTAAACCTGAAACGCAAAAATGATGGCTCTTTTAGAAGAATATACATACACAGTATTGTAGCTTTCTATTGAGCGTGTCGTGTCGTATCACACCAAAAAGTTATAAATTTTAGTATCTTGGCTTCAGCATTGTTCCACATTTTGATGGCAGCGCCCTGATTATCATAAATAAACAAGATTTTGCTGACAGATGCAATGCCACACCACACCACAAAAATGGGCGGAATTGTTGAAATCAATATTGTAATGGCATATAACCTCATACCGATCTATGGGACAGAAATGAATGGTTGTGAGAGCAACATACCTGGTGCATATGCCAAGACAAAAACCACCATACCAACAACAACAAACCACCCAAAATCACTGGGACACTCACTGTGTATAAATTTATAATAAGGATTGGCTGTATGCGAATGATTGCAGCGGCCAACAACAGATTTATAAGAGTTATTTAAATCTGTGGGTAAGCAGGAACCATCCCACCAATTAGTATAACAAAAACCACAAAATTCAGTATAAGTACACATTGCACATGTCCTGAAAGAGAAACACATTGACTGTAATTTCTTTTGTCACAAATTATCCTTCCAAGAGTTCAGGGGAGGTGTGAGCTCCTTGGCATTGGTTTAGAATAATGGTCGAAAATTGTCTTATCCAACATCGCCATGTTGGCTGTCCAGATTATATTTGAATGCAGTAACTCTGCTCAGAAATGAATCTTTTTGCTCTGAACCACATATAACTGTCGATTCGAAACTTTCCGAATCATACTTAAGGGAGCGTTTCCCGGTTGCTCTTTTCGACTTTCATGCATCCGGACAACTGAAGAGCTCGGGATCTGCGACCTATAATTATTGTTATTGTATGTGGGATTTCCTCGTAAAACAAAAGGGACACAACTTGCAAAAAAACGAAATGGTTCAAAGCCTTGCCCTTTTTAGAGGCTAAATAAAATAATATTCAAGAAGTTACTATTTATATCCATGGCATACTTACTGAAAAGAAGTGTGATTGCAATAACCAAAGTATTCATCTTCATACGGTAAACCAACCAATGATTTATTTTCAAAGACACTAACAGGTCGAGGATACAGTTCTAATAATTGGTAACCAGTAGCTATTAATGCCATTCCAAAGAATACACCTGAAAAAAAAAATACTAAATCGTTTCTTTCAACAGAGCACTCTAATACACGTAGCTTGTCAACTGTACATGTCTGTTTTTATTTTCACTTTTTGTCGTGACATCCTCGATTCTTGTTTTCAAGAAGTATTCGTGAGCTTATCTGCCATTTTTTTGTTAACTTTTAAAGCATTATCTATACTGTACAAATCGAATCAAAACAATCTTACCTATGAAGCTGGACACCAAGAGTTGTCTCCGGTCATCTTTCATTGGTTCAAATTTATTTGATAGATAAGTTGCAACAACATAAAGAACATTGGGTATGTTTAATAATATCAGAGATAGATTGGTGGGTAAGCCAGATAGTAATATCATACTCCCTCCATATAATCTGTAATCAATTATTATATCAGTCAATATAAAATAAGTTGAATTACTTTGGTTCATTTCATGTGGGACTTTCTCTTTCTAAAGATGGCTTAAATGTGAAATTGTGATTTGATGTCGCAAGATGGCAAGATATGGCATAAAATCTCAACATATCTTCGAAATTTAGATATTTTCGTCGCAAAATGTCTGAATATGTAACTTTCCAGACATACATAGCAAAGGCATAAGCAATTCGTTGTCAACGTCGCTGTCATTTCGTAAGCGGCTATTTCAAAATGAGACATACGGCATCTAGATGCATCAAAGACGAAGATTTTAAGCCTGGAAGATCACGGTTCGACTTAAGACCCAAGCATTCCCTTCCTTAAGTAGATCAGTCGTTACTTTCGTGGAGAAATCTTCACATTAATTACTTACATGATGCAGCTGATGCCAGATAACTGTTGAAATAAATGTAAAAAGGAAACATTCATAGCTGACTGCCGAACTTTAGGTTTTAACAGTATTCGAATTATAGGTGGTTTAGAACTCATTGAACCTTTAGGTGCCATTCCACCTTCTAATTTCTCATAGTCTTTTCTATTAACAACTTTCTTTTGCTTCTTCTTCTGCTTAGATTTCTTTGATTTTGTTTCATTATTTTGTTTACCACCTTTGCCACTTAATTTACCACTGCCAGAAGATCCCGAGGCATTGGCGTGTTGGTCATTGTCCCCATTTCCTTCTGAAGTCGAGCCTTTACTATCGTTTCCACCTGGTAAACCAGATGTACTTTGATTACCATTGTCTCTATTTTTATCGTTTTCTGAATCTTTGGTACCATTTCCCTCAGACGATCTCGAGGAAATACCATTACCGTCGTTTGAATTTGTGTCATTGTCGGACTGGCTAGTTTTACCATCTGTTGTTGGACAATTATCGTTTCCACTTCCAATCTGACTATTTCCAGATTTCCCAGAATTTTTCTTTGATGAATCTGCATTATTGTTACCACCAGAATTATCCTTGCCACCTGGATTACTATTACCGCCTGAATTACTATTACCATCTGGATTAGTATTACCATCTGAATTCTTATCACCTGGATTACTTATACCATCTGAATTATTACCACCAGACGTATTCTTATTATCACCTGAATTATTATTACCACCAGACGTATTCTTATTACTACCTGAATTATTATTACCACCTGAATTATTATTACCACCTGAAATCGGATCCTGCTTGGAATTTTTATCACCAGAGTCCGAGTCCCCGGCTGGTTGTCCAGAATTTCCAGTTGTTGATCTATCACGATTGTCACCACCAGAGCCTTGGTCATCGGAAGCATCTTTATCTTTAGTTGCGTCAGCTCCACTCTGTCCACGAATGCTTCCAGATTTGTTTCCATCAGATGATGTTTTGCCTGATTGTCCAGAGTTGCTACCAGATGATTCCGTACCTTGGTTTGTGTGATTCAAACCAGGAATTTTATCAGATGGTGCCGAATCTGATGTAGCTGACTGACTTTCATTCCCCGAACCACTGTTTTGTTGGTCTTTTGCCGAAGCGTCAGGTGAATTTTGGGGAGTTTGCTTCGAAGAACTCCCATCCTGGCCTTTTCCACCACTTTGAGTTACATCCAATAAATCATTCCCTGTATTCCCTTTTCCTTTCCCACGTCCTTTCTCGGTCTGGCCTTCGTTGGAATCTTGCTTTTTGGGGTCGCTGTCCTTATTCAAATCAGCTTTCAGACTACCCTTCTGTTTATCTTTGGAAGTATTTGGGTTAGTACCATCATCATCAGAATCCGACAGAATCTCTGGAACAAACAATATTTAAATCACATAATTTAGTTCAGGAAATTACTCACTTTTGAGAGTTATGCTGGTAACCGTTTTTTTCTAATAAGCAAATGGAATAACAATAAGGTATATAATTTGCTACAAGTTAGCAGGAAATTTCTGTCACTGATTCCATACAATATACCTTCATTTATAAGGAAAACTTACCATCTCCTACTTCCTCTATAATATCACCTAATATATCCCATGTATCGTCACTATCATCTATAATTATACATAGAAATATTAAATAGTTACGTTCTGCATCAGAACAGATATCACCCTTAATCAACTTTCTCTATTCGACAACTAATCCTAGACCTCAGACATTGATGGAATTATATAAGCCGGGGACTTTTTCTTGCCCAATCAGACTCTTTAAAAACAATTATAGTATGAAAAGCTACATCCGCAATTCCAAACATTATCCGTTCGAGCATTTGACTAGATGGTAATGCTTGGTGGTTTGGAGCCGTTGCGTCAAGAGTTCGAATTGGCTTATGTAACATTGATTCAAGGGTTAATACGATCTTGATTCAATAATTCTTCCCAACAGGATCATAGGAATCAAACGCCTTGAGTTGAACCATAACTGCATCATCTACGGTTCAACAAGAAGCGTTTAAACAGCCTCATACCTTTATCCAATTCATTTCTTTCTTCTTCGACGTCTAATCTGATAGCTTCTAACTCGTCCCCTATCTGGTCTGTACCACGTAATAATATTAAACTCTCCCTAGTCCCCTCAGCATCATCACATTCCATTAGCCACCTAGGTGATTCTGGTAATAATATGATAGCTATAAATTGTAGTATTGATGGTATGGCTCCAAAACCAAGTAGATATCTACGATGATAAAGCACAAATTAATTTTTATTTAAAACCTTCAAATATTTATGCTGATGTAGGAAACCCAACCTGGTGCAAATAATTCAAATAATTTGCTATAAAAACGTTGTAATAATAATATTATTGTTTGGCAATGTCGATGTGATATCTTGTCAGTTCACCCACTTCAAAATGATTCGTAAGAGGTAGGAGCATCATCAGTCAGAAAACTGCTCGGTAAGTACCATTCCAACTTTATTTACATGCCAGCTGATCTTACAATGAAATTGATATCCGAAAGGCACATCGAAGCAATAAAAATATGCGAAGATTCAGATGAGTTGACACATTTCAAAAAGACCAAGAAAAATGCTAATATTTTAAGACTAGTGGCATAACGGCAGGGATTGTTATGATAATTCTACTACATCTGAATGTCAGGAATTGTATATGAGTGTATAAAAGACAATGATTAGTACTGACTGCCAAACCATTTTATCACCAAGGTAATGTAACACCATAGTGAGAAAGTTCGATACCATATTGCCAATGGTATACATCAATTGTAACCATCCTAATAACCATTTTAATCTAGTGGCTAGCGCTGATTCTTTAACATATAAAACAACTACTACAGTACTCAACCCTGAAATATGAAATATTAGACTTTAACTTTGGTAACTGTAAGCTATAAAAACGCACTTCTTCTGGACTGCAATACAATCTGAAGCACAAAAATGTATGATATAAAAGGGATTTTATTTGGAAAATCTGATAAACACAACAGTGGAAAATGAAGAATAGACTATCGAGATTTATTATAACATTATTATCAGTGAAAATATTTTATTATTATTACGTACCCATAGCAAATCCAACTATTACTCTACCTACTATTATTACAAGAATAGTTTCAGCTTCACCCATCACGATAGCCCCTGTAGTAAATAATACAGCTGCAGTGCCAATAATTACTTTTCGTCCTACAAAATCAGCCACGAATTCGGCCACAGACGATGTAAGAGCTGCTGTCCCGACTGTAGCACTGACTATAACCTGGGCCCACAACATACTGAGGTGAAAAAACGGTTGTATTAAAAGCATTGATCCTGAAACAACACCAGTGTCATACCCAAACAGAAACCCGGAAACCATCACTAAAAATGTCAAAGAGCAACGACAAAAACATTTTTTCTTCCGTTCAAAGGGAATTAATACTAGTCTATCATTATCAGAGTCTCGGTTATCAAAAGTATTATATCCTCCTGAGGTTGGTTTGGTTGGTATTTCAACTATCACAGGTGCTGTTGGTTCTGGTACGCTATCTGCATCCTCGGTTGAGGTAGTTGGATTACTCTCATCAACAGCGGGTTCCGGAACATCTTGTGGTTCTGCAGGATTCCAATGTCCACCTCCTCCACAGCCCCCTCCCCCTCCCCCTCCGCCTCCGCCTCCGCCATGACCTACAGCTAAAACTTCTTCTGACCACCAAAGACCTTCTCCAAATCCGGCTTTCCGTCGGTCGCCTCTGTTTTTGTTACAACATGGCATATTTACACTGTATTCTATTATACACAACCAGATGTAAGAATGTTTTATCGAACACTTGGTTCAATTGTGTTTTTAAAATCTGAACATATGTGCATTGAAATCAATGCAGGTTCTTACCTCATTTCGAATACATAACAGTGAACCTATACAAAGTCATTTTTCCGATAAATTTTTTAATTGAATGAAAGCGACATAATCGAAAACTATTTGAAGGGTTAACAAAACCTTATAGTACCATGTAATGTACTTAAATATACCCAGATTCTGCGTAATCGATTTTTTACTGGATCCCATTGGTTCAATAGACTTATATCGGGAGTAACACTGTCGATATCATTAAGTAGCAGAAAGTTGAATATACTCCTTCGATGTATTAAATTGCCAGTGTGAAGGAAATTCATAAACATAATCCAATATATAATACAATGCCATAGTTCATAATACTACAAAGCCACAGCTCACAATGATATACATTACGCGTATGTATTCTTTGAAAGAATATATTTCAAACCCATAGAGTTAAAAAGCGACTTAAAGATTACTTGTCTATTAGTTCAGTGTAGGCCTACATTGTCGCCAACATGTTTCAAATCGATGGAAATTGATCTCAAATGAATTTGAATAATAACAAAAGAAACTTAATGTAATGTTACTATCTAAGAAAGTTGCGATTTTATGGCATTAGCCCGACACTGTATTCCGTTGTTTATATGTTTAATGCTTGATTTCTAATGGACTAAAACGATATTTAACCTATTAACATACATATTATTTTCTTAACAATACTACTTCTTGCTTGAGCTATAGCACCTATACGAAGGAAAAATATTGATCACATATAGAAAGCAAAACTGTAAGCTTAGAATTCATTAATAAATTTAAAGAAAAATTTCATGAATGGATTCCTTCTAATACAGAAAATATCTTATGTTAAAGTAAAGACCATAGATATCCTATTATAAGATGTTTATGGTAAATAGACCCCTTTTCAAATTCTGTTTAGTCTTTTATTGTCAAGAGGACTTTCTTATTATTTGGTCATTTTTTTCAATCTGTTAACGTAGGCTCTGGGGGGATTTCAATTTTTTCCGTTATGGAATGAAACTTAACATTTTTTTCGGCAATTAGGGCCAATATTACGAATTTTCCATATTCACAGATTATACCATTTATGTACGAAACTTGAGTACGATAACAAAAAGTTATAAGATATCACTAGCTATCGAGTTACAGTTCTTAATTAAGCTTTAATTAGGATGTGTAATTAGGTATGCAGGTAACGCGTGGTTTGGGTGTGGGAACAAAGTGAAGACCCCCATCAAGGTTCGATCATTACTTAGAGGTGACAGTTCATGTATACCTGTATAGACTCTAAGACATCATGGACAGTTTTCTTTTACTTCTAGCAACTTGCAGTTTGATTCCATCCATAGGTAAGTAATGTAATTCCGTTTTTCGGGAAGCATAAAACAGGGGAGTAGAATGGTTGGGCAGAAACCTTGCCAGATCTTGACGTTGAAGGTCTAAATCAAATGTCCAAACTTAGTAAAAAGATGGATATTTCTACCTATAAATATATTTTGATACAAAACTTATATAGTTATTCTACTATTAGATAACTGATGCCCTACAAGTTGGTTAAAATCGGCAGTTCAACCTGAATGCATAAATGTATCTTCAAATGCCTGCTTTATTAAATTATAGATTACATGATATGATATTGACGAACATAACGCTTGTTGACATGGGTGTATGTATAGAATCAATTTCAATATATTTTTTTAGAGAGTTTAACCTGTTATAAGTGTTCAAGAGTAGATGGTATAACAGCTGAGCAGGCTAATCTCAATTGTCTAATAAACTCAACTGAGGTCCTATGTCAGAGTTCATATGTAAGTATTTCAAACAGTAGTCAGAGAGGAAATCGTTCGGGTGTCGCGTAAAGTGGTTCAGATGATACAGAGGACTCTTATGATGAAGGCTTTGTAAGTCTAAAAACTCGTTTATAACAATGGGTCACCGCAAACAATTGTTCCATTAAAAATATTTCCGCTTGTGTAATTATTTCAAAAAGTAGTCTGAAAGGGCATCGTTTGGGTGTCGAGTAAAGTGGCTCAGATGATACAGATGATACAGAGGACTCTTATGGTAAAGGCTTTGTAACAACGGGTCATCGCAAACAATTGTTCCATTAAAAATATTTCCACTTGTGTTAATGGAAAATCTTTAGCGGTATGCCAGTATCTTCAACTCTACTGTCCATCGCGCTCCTCAGATTAATCAGTCATCTGCCAAGTTGAAAAATGCTTACAAGTTTCATTGGTATGGTATCACTCCTTCATAGTTAAATTTTTCGTATAACACTGTGTACATCATTTTGATTTTTTTTTAAATTATGTAGGATAGGTGTTATAGTTCTATACATGATGCTAGTAATACAATAGAAAAAGGTTGTACATCAAGTGCAAGATGTATAGAGAGTAATATATGTTGTACCAATAATTTCTGTAATGCTGGTTTTGCTACAGGTAAGGTCCTTCTGAAAATTATTGTGGTCAATGTTACTGATTCGAGAAAAAAAAACAAAGTTAAGCCCACACAGTCGTCAAAATGATATATTGAAGGAGCTTAATCTCGACTATTTGTATATCACTATTCAGAATGTACATCAGGCGTCTGGTTCGGACAAAGTGGTTATAAATTATTACCTCTAGCAAATGTAATTTTCACCTTCACATATCTGTGCGATATTTTGACTTGTGATTGTAGGTATGCGGACAGGGTATGGTAAACCATGTGAAACTCAGTCAGATTGTATTCAAGATACAGAAGACATGGTTTGTAGTCAGGCAGTTGAAGATTCGTCATTAAAATGTCAATGTACAGAAAAGAGGCACAATAAAGGTGCTATTTGCAAACTCAGTAAGTAAACATATTTTATTTACGAAATCGCCTCTAACATTCAACGCAATCTTCTTGGTCTCTTACTCTTCTTTCTCTTTTCCTTCTTCCATTCTCGTATTAACAATATCTCCAAAATAACCTCCGAATCTCAAAAAATAACAATATCGCCAAAATAACCTTCAAATATCAGAGATTACCATATATACAAAGTAAACATATCCTCGTGTTTATTTACAGAAAGTGATGTGACAGAATATTGCGATGGAGATAACCAATGTTTATTATATAACTCATTCTGTGAAGATTCACGCTGTCGATGTGCTGACCAGTTTTATCCCAATAAAACGGAAGAATCGTGTTTACTGAGTATGTTTTACTTTATTTTTGATTTAATTTAAATCCTTAGACTGGACATTATTTACTACAATCTGACTGGAAATTAATAAAGATACCATACTGAAAATTGAAATCTTAGGTTCTAACAGTAGACTCGTGCACAAAATGAAAACGAGATCCCCGAACACTTTCGAAGGGGTCAATTATTTGGGAGGTAAGGTATATGCAAAATAATTTGATTCTCCATTCGTTGATATGGCTTAAGTATTACTCCGTCAGTTATAAGTGTTACATTGTTGCTAATGTTACAATTCTTCTGAGGTTTCCATTGCGCATTGCTCATCCCAGCTGCTGAGTTTATACACCAATGTCTCTTGATTTCCAAGTACACTTTTTCAGTGACACGATTTTTGTTAACTTTCAGAGCGACCACTAACAGACCCTTGTAGTAAAGATATGGAATGTCGAGCTCATAATTCTATGTGCCATAGTGAAATGTGTGTATGTAAATATGGTTATTATGCTGGAAAATATGAAGATCATTGTTCAGGTAAATATTTTTGATAATTTACACACAGTAAATTCATAGTACCATGATAACATTGCTAATTTTGTGGTTCCGAAAAGGAGAGGAGAAAACATTCTGAGAGAAAGCTTCTCCAGACATTCTCAACCTCGACATTTTTAGCGTCAAATCCAGAAGGCTGGAACAGGGCGAATGACTTAAATCGCTTACAGAACCTGTCGCAGTATATCTTAACAACAAGCAAATATATATTTTATTGTTAAAAAATTCCATCTTCAACTATAGAGCAGCAATTAACAGCAAATATATTTATTATCTTGTAGGTTGTTCCAGATTAGAATGGTCTTTGTTGGTGATTTGTCTGCAGTATTTTATATATGTGTTACATTAGAAGCAGGGGTCTCATTGATTTTAACTACCCGTCCAGCAATGTTAGCTCATTAAACATTTACCGAACAATTTTTTTAATAAAATGGAAATGATTCCCATTAATTTGCTTTGTTGTTAAAAAAAATCCAATTAAGGGAGACAACAGGGTACAAAAAATACTGTTAAGTATGCCTGTTTACATCCTGCTCAAATGCGAAGGTTCAGTTTTAAGCCGTGGTGTAATCATGTAGCAAATCGTGTACTGGAAAAGAATGCACCAATAGTAGAATAAATAGGCTGCTTCCAGTTATCATCAGTTGCCCGGGTGCGACACTTTCGGTTAAATTGGATTTGTCTCTAAGAA